GTGCCCCGCCAGCTGCTTGTTCCATGCCTACCATGGTGTTTTTGTACAGACAGCACTTCAGACAGCATTATGCTGTAGTCGGCAATCTTCCGTTTTGGTATAGAGTGGGACAGGGAGGGGGTGATGCTACTGTAGTCGAACGGTGGGACGGACGTGCAGTTCAGTTTTTGGGCACGCATACGGTGCTGCAGGGATTTTTAGGTGTACCTCTTCGGGCTCTTGCATACCTTTTTCTCGTCAGATGTGTGCGTGTTCTTTAGATCCTCAGATGGCTCTAGCACTTTCGTGACCACGGGCTGAGAGTCTTTTGCTAGATTTTGGCATTTAGCAACTGACATACGGTTTAATGTGAAGACAAACAACAACAACAACAACAACAATGGCAATCACGGGAGGAGGGTTCTTGCCGGCGGGGGGGGGGTTGATTCGTCAGGCAGCACTTACCTGCCAAGCCAAGAAAACGTGCCCCCCGCACAATCGGGAAGCATTTCTCCCCGACTGTCAACCTGTTTCTTCAGTCCGACAACGTTCCAGATCCCAAACGCCCTTGCTGTGCCTCCGCCCCCCCTCCCTCATGTCTCTCCTGCTTCCTCTTTTTTATCTATTGGTGCAGACTTACCCCCCGAGCCAGACGAAGGTGATCTCGGACGTGGATCTGTGTGCAGTGTCCTTCGACGACATGGGGGTCGTCCGTTCCTACGCGGACGGCCTCATGGTGGAGGTCGTCCACGCCATCGAGGACCCGGTGCGTTTTGCCACGCCGGCGTGCGTAGCCAACTGCAGGCACTCGGAATGTTAGTGTTTTATCCGCCACCCGTCAAGAGAGGTGGGCTGGGGATTGGTGCAACGAATGTGTAGATAGAATCCCCATGTACCAACCGAAGGTCCTTCTCGTGTGCAAGAATATTTTTTTGTGAGTTGTGTGATGATGGCTCGTCGTTTGTGTCTATAGGTGTTTGTTGCCACACCCTGGCTCATTGTCTTGTTTGCCCACGTTCCATGCCCGTTCCAAAAGCACTCACTTTGTTGCAAGTTTTGTTGTCGTGCGGACTTACATGACCGACCTTCATATTGAATATCATAGGCCGACCCAAAGCTGTGGTACTCCATTTCTATGGTCTTGTTGTTGCTGTTGCTCCTGCTGCTGCTGCTGACGCCTTTTGGAGTACTTCAACTGCGAACTCTCCCTGTGACGTTTGCGCAGAATACTTGCACGCTGTGTACACTGAGACCGATGACACTGAAACCCTTTCCATGGTCATGCACATGTCTGCTGCATTCTTCTCTCAACGACAATTGTTCGGTGTTATGGCCTCCGGTACACCTTTTTTGTGTTGCGCAGGATGCGGTGGCGGAGATCGAGGAGATCAAGAAGAGAGTGGTCAACCAACAGGCCAAGATGAAATCGCTTGTGAGTTGCGATTGTTATAGTTGCGTCTACATCTGCTGCTGCTGCCGCTGCTGCCGTTGGGTTGTTGTCGTTTGTTCTCATGTGTCGCCGTCATGTCGTCACGACCTTCCTCTTCCCGATGCCCCCATGCTGTACTCTCAACTGGTGATAGCCTTGGTGCTTGTACCATTCCGCTTCTTCGTTGAACCATGTCACGTTGCGTAAATGGAGGTTATACCGTGTTTTTCTACACATCGCAGGAGGGGCAAGAGTCTTCGATCGCGTACTCCAAGTGCAAGGCCGACATCGACGTGATGAAGTTGGACATGGAAGCTCTCCTGGAGAGGGTCAACTCTGCACCCAACACCGAGGGGCTCGGCGGCATCCCTGGGCTGTTCGGTGAGTTGCGCGCGTGGTGCTGATGGTTTGGTGTTGCTGCTACGGCGGCGGCGGTGGTGGGTGATATTGTAGTGGTTGTCACCCCATTGTTTGTCAGAAAATACATATGTACCACAAAGAGACGAAGGGGGCATGTTGAAGTCTTTACAGCTGTGGGTAGGAGAAAAAAACGATTCTTGTACAACACACGATGAAGTTTTGCCTAAATACAGCAACGTGGGTCCCTCATTTGTGCCGGCATGTGCCCGCCAGATTCACCCGCGCCGAACGCACCGGGCACCCGTCACTATTGAGAGCATGAGACCACTTGAAAGTTTGCTGCATCCGCGTCAGGCGATTTCACTACTACTGTACCGGGCAATGCACTATTCAAGGACCCCACAGCTGCAGTACTAGGGACGTTGGGGGGGGGTCCGTCTCGGAAATAGATGCACTATCACGTTCGAAATGACAATATCAAGTAAACCCCTCACCCCCCCCCCCCCAAG